CAGGTTGTCCTGTCCACAGCGCGTGCCTCACCAATTCTGGTGGTGAGAGGCTCAGGACCACACAGCAGGTGTCAAAGTGTCAGGACTAGGAAGTCCAAGGCCACTGGGTAGCTGTGCTAACCCTATACCAGTGACCCACACTCAGCTGTACCTTGGGGGACTGACTCCCTAAGCTCTGGTGACCTACCCAGGCCACAGTTATCTCTTGAATAACATCTAAGATGAATTAAGGACGTTAGCACACTGTTTCAGTCCTGCCTGGTCCAGCTTCATCAGTGGTTGTCAGGGAAGGGAGCCACTTTCATAGTGACCACAGCTGGAGATGAGGACAGCCCAGGCTGCTGCTGTCAGGTGAATCTGCTATCACCTGGGTCCCTTAGCTGTGCCTCCCTTTGGGGCTGAAACTCACCACAGCTTCAGGGCTGCTGACAGATGACCACAGTCCAGACATGGGATGAGGATGGAAATGTTTGTAAACAGAAGGATATTTTGGAAAATCAGGTGTCAACAGGTAACACCTGTTGGGGTGCTGGGGGTGGCTTGAGCAGGCCAGCTGCCCTAATGTGTCCCTGCATGTCCTTCATCTACCCTGCCCCCATTGGACACCTGCCTGTCTCCCCCTGCCCCTCTGTGTCCCCAACCTTTCCCCACTTGTCCCTGTTTGTCCTTGCCTTCCCTGGCCTGTCCTATGCAGAGCTCAGCCTGCCCAGGCAGTGAGTGGGGGTTTCTCAGCCAGACAGCACCACCATCAGGGCAGGGAGGGAGGTTCATGGCTGCAAGCCCAGAAGAGAGGGTCTTGCTGGGTTTGTCTTCTCCCTCCAGGGGTCCAGGATGATGTGGCTGCACTGAGCACTCGGCCCAAATCAGACTCTTGCCATTCCCTACATCACATATGCTTATTTCTGGTTTATTCATATAATAATTTTTAAAAAATCATTTTTAAGAATTCTTTCTAAAGAGAAATCACTTGGTACATGTACAAACCTTCCATAAAGGTAAATGCTCTGCCACAGAAAGGAGTAAAACATTTAATTGGCATTAATAACACTAGTAACCATTCACTGTTTGGTTTTTTCAACTGGCCGACGAGCTGATAATCACACAGTCATAGGTATTGACATACTTTATTAAATACAAATGCACATCTCTTACATTTTATATATTATTGTCTCAGGTAAAAATATATTTTTAGAAATTTATGACTTCACAGCTCAATCAGTTACAGAATGACATGATTTTATATTGCTCTTTAAAAAAATTCACAACTAAGGTGTAGAGACATCAAGTATTTTCAGCACTAAAAAGGAAAGCAGTAAAAATTGGTCAACTCTGGAAATGAAGTCTTGTGGTCAGTGGAGAGGGGAGAAAGTCTGAGTCACCCCTGCACCAGCAGCTTGGCCCTACAGCTCTCTCGAAGCCTGGTGATAGTGGTCATAGACAAGCTTCCGGGCTCTGAGAATATTTTCTGAAAGAGAAATGGAAAGACTTTAAAAACAAACCCAAAACATGTTTTTACCTTAGCTGTCCCGTTGAAGGCTAGGCTGTGGCAGACCGACCAACAAAAACTGGCCTCTTGCACAGTGAGGGAGGACAGCCCTCAGTCCCAAGTAGTTCTTTATAAGTTCTGGATATTAACCCTTATCAGATATTTGGTTTGCAAATATTTTTTCTCTTCACTCTTGTTACTTGTTTCATTTGCTGTCCAGTTTTTGAGTTCGAAGTATTCCTGTTTGTGCATTTTTGCTTTTGGTGTTTGTGTTTTGTTCTCTTTGTTTAGAACCTTTAACTGTATGTATCCTGTAGCAGCTCTGAAGCCTGTCAGGCCATTCACAAGCAGACTAAGTAAAGCGTAAGAAACCAGATTTGAGAAGTGGAAGCAGAAGAGCCTCAGACTAATTTCTAGCAAAAGAGAAAACTGCTTCACAGTCAGGAGAAAAAACTGTGCCTCAGTGAGAGAGCAAGCACGCAGGTGGCCACAGCCATGGGACTCCAGAGGCAGTGTTGTGATTGGCATGAAAACAAACATTTCAGACTAGGGTATGTGCCATCGCAGCTTTATGAATAAATTAATAATCATTTGTGCAGTTACTGCTGAGAAATCCACGGTTATAAATTAGGCCAAATGTTGAGAAATTCACGGTTATAATTTAGGCCAAGTGTAACTAGCATTAAAGTTTTTTTAAAAAATTTCATTTCAGAAATTCTTCCATAGTTTCATAATACATGGCACCAAAGGTCAAGGAAGAATATCTATATAAGTATCCACATTCTTGAAAAGTGGGAAGTAAATCAAGTCCTCTGAGATGTGCAACTGTCCTCTGAGTGTTCAACTGTCCTCTGCCCATTCATGTTCCACCGAGCTCCAATATGAGATCACTGTTTTTATTCTCCAGGAAATTCTAGAGATTCCTGTATAGGATTTCAGAGAGCTCTGATGTATGGACTGCAAGTGCTGTGCTTTTTTTGTTTGTTTGTTTGTTTTTAAATACAGAACTACATATACAATTTTGTAGAGATCGCTGAGAAAATAAGACTCACTATACTAGAGCTGCTTCCCAGCCGACTTCCCTTGAATGGCTACATCTATTCTATGCAATGATACACGATGTTTCTTTACACAGTGTTTTTATTTTGATGTGGGTAAACTGGTAAAACCTACCCAGTGTCCTCATGATCCTCTGTGCTTCCCTGGAGCCAGCCATGCTCACAGAGCACCTTTGGGCCAAGTCCTGCTGTGGACAGCTCACCCACCTGCAACCGGCTCACGGGCAGACCAGTCAACTGCCTTGCTGCTTCTTGGACTTTATAAATAGTAGTACTTACTACTGTGTGCAAGGTACTCTGCTAAACACTGAAATGATAATGCTAGTTAGAGCTAAAAACCTTGAAAGCATTAGGCTGAGTTAAAGAAGCCAGTCACACAGTGTTTGATTCTGTTTATATGAAATGGCAAATCCACAGAGACAGAAAGTAAACTGGTGCTTGCCAGGGGCTTGGGGAGGGATATGGTGTTCTCTTTTGGGGCGATGAAATGTCTTGTAACTAAATGATGAAACTAGATAATGAAACTAGACCTCTGAACTTACATATGTTAAAAGGATGAATTTTATGGTCTAGGAATTATATCTCATTAAAAACAAACAAACAAAAAAACCTAAACAACCCTGGGGTGTAGGACTTATCATCTCCACTCTATTATAAATGAGGAAACTGAGTCTAAAAGAAATCATGAAACCTGCCAGCAGCTATACAGAGAAGGGCAAGCTATGATTCTGCCTGAGCTCAGTGCCCAGCTCCTACGAACTCCTCCACATACAGACTGGTATGACACCTGGAAGAGGCACAATCCTGCCATCTGCTGCTTGGAGTCCCCTTTAACATTCTCAGCAAGAGGCCACTGGGCTACTTGAAGACTTCGAGGATGGAGAAGTTACTCGTTCCAGAGGAGGCATTTAGTCATGGGTGATGGGCTCCAAGTGCTACCTGATAAGCCTCCAAATTAATCAGTTATTGGTTTCTGTTCAACATTTCTCGTCCGTCGTCACCACCTCCTCTTTACTGAGATTGCTGGCTGGTGAGTATGGCCTGGTATGAGCTGAAATGTCAGCGCTCATGACCGCTTACCCTCCAGCCATTCAGAAGATGCATGTGACCCTGGTGACCACCACAGCAGCTAGAGGGGAGGTCATATCTGAGGCCAGGTAAAAGTGAAACCCCCTCCCTGCTGGAGCCCCAGGATGAAGGCCTTGGGTTTTCTCTCACTCCCCAGAGCTGCCCCGCTTCACTTCCAGAGTGGCGTGGAGAAAGCTCAAGGCAGGAAATCTCTGGCTCGGTGCCCTAGATTCTTTCTAAGACGGTCCCAGTCACCAGCAGGCCGCCCCTAGCCGCTCCCAGCCAAATCTGCCACAGCAAAGTGCTTGCTCCCTTCCAGGGAGGTGTGGCGAAGTAGCTGGCCTTCCCAGGAATAGAAACAATGTGCCACATGAATACATCCCCGTGCCCTCTGCTACCTCCTTTGAATTTGTAATTACTTCAAATGTAAACGTGAAAAGCAAGGTGGGCCAGGCACTCTAGTTCAAGGTTGCTCAGTGCCAGCAGTCATTACCTCCCTCCAGGGCCATTCCAGTTCTGGGCTCTGCTCCCACTTCTCACCCTCTTCCCACTAGGCCATCTAAAACCTGCCTTACCAGCCTGAGCCTGCCCCAGCTCTGTGGCCTCCTCGGAAGGCCTGCTGGGTGCAGCTCCCACTTTATTCACTCAGCAGGTCTGAGTCATCTACATCAGGGGTCCCCAAACCCTGGGCCATGGATCAGTACCAGTCCACGGCCTGTTAGGAACCGGGCTGCACAGCAGGAGGTGAGTGGTGGGCAAGCGAGCGAAGCTTCATGTGTATTTGCTTCTGCTCCCCAGCGCTAGCATCACCGCCTCGGCTCCACCTCAGATCATCAGGCATTAGGTTCTCATAGGAGCACTGGTCCCTGCTGTCAAAAAGGTTGGGCATCGCTGGTGTACATAGCCTGTGACCCCACTAGGACGAGGAGAAACAGGAGACCTCCTGTAGACAGGGTCATCAGAAAAGCCCTCTGAGACCAAAAGCACAGGCAGCAGGCTCAGCAGGGGCGCCAGGACTCAGAGAACTCTGCCACCTCCTAGGCCCAGAGAAAGTAAAGTGTGGATTAGACATGTTTGTGTCCTTGAGCCCTCCATGCTTCTGCCCTGGTAAACCTGGACTGGCCCTACAGCAGGTCTCATCGGCACTGGACCCTGCCCACTTCAGGGCAAGCTGCTGCATGGCTGATGGCACAGGAGGAGGGGCAGCAGCCACTAGACTCCAGGCAGGTGGCCCCCACGTATCTGTCAGCAGGCCCTGGGTGCCAGGAAATGGGCCTAGAAGTGGCTGCTTGAGAAGGGAGGGGTAAAGGGACTCGGCTAAGACAGAGGTCGAAAGGAAACTCAGGGACAGATGCTTTGCCAGACAGACAGGTCGAGTGCAAAGCCAGGACACCCACTTCACGGGCTGAGCGAATGGAATAGCAGAGCAAAGCACAGGCTGAGCACACACAGACATACCTCACCTGCATAAAAGTGTGACATTCCATCACAAAACTCCCTTTGGTGATCTCCTTGAACTTTTCACAAATGTCTGCAACACTGGTGGCTTCCAAAATAAAAGCCTGATGTTGTTTAATTAGGGTCAAGGCCACCCGGAAGATAATCTTTGAGCCTTCATTGAACAAACAATCCCAGATTCGAAGCACTGTCTACAGAGAAACAGAGAAATGGTGCATCACTGCACGGTGACCTCAGCCAGCCCTGGTCCCAGCAAGGCGGGGGACACACTCACCTCCACAGGCAGGATGTCCACAAACAGGCAGATGAACCAGCGTGACACGACCAGAGTCCACAGAACACCGTGCCCATCCATCAGGGCCGCCACCGCCGGCAGCTTGGTCCTCACCAGCTCCCCCAGGACCTCCTGGTCCATCTTCAGGCCCAGCATCGCAGGGCTGTAGTAATCTGTCACGGGGATGAGGAGAGAGACCCAGAAATGTGTATCACTTGGTCCATAAACCACAGCCCCTGCCAGCCCCATCCCTCATTCTCCTCTCAGCCAGGGAAAGAAAAAAGGGCTATTCGTGGAGCATACTCTCCAGAAGAGGAGGAGAGACTTGGGGCAAGATGTTGTGCTGTGCGGATGCAGGGGCTCCTGGAAGATATTCCCAAACAAAGCCCCCCAGAATCCCTGGGGGCTCTGGATAGTGAGGCCCTGCTGGGCATCGGTTAAAATCTGCTGGCAGAAAGCAAGGATATTTGCACACCCATGTTCATAGCAGCATTATTCACAACGGCCAAAAAGTGGATGTAACCAAGTGTCTACTATGGATGAATGGACAAACAAAATGTGGTCTACAAATACAATGGAATATTATTCAGCCTTAAAAAGGGGGGAAACTCTGCCACATGGTACAACATGGATGAACATCAAGCTAAGTGAAATAAACCAGTCACAATAGAAATCGTATATGATTCCACTTATGTGAAGTGCCTAGAGCCATCAAAATCATAGGTAGAATGGTGGGTGCCAGGGGCTGGGGGAGGGGAATGGGGAGCCGTTATTTAATAGGGACAGAGTTTCAGTTTGGGAAGATGAGAAAATTGTGGAGATGGACAGTGGCGATAGTTACACAATATGGATGCACTTGATGCCACTGAACTGTATGTATACTTAAGATGATAAACATGGCAAATTTGACGTTATGTCTATTTTATCACAAGAAAAATAAAACTTTAGAAATGGGCCTTTTTCCCATCGTGTCAACTGAGGGAGACAGTCTCTGCAGTCAGGGATCTACTCACAACAGGATTCTTGGTTTGGGGGCGGGTGAAGCAGGCGCAGGACCACCTGGGCTGCAGAGACAGCCCTGCCATAGCGAGCTCCTTCCTGGGAGGAAGACAAACCTCAGGGTGGAGGTGGCTATGGCCCGGCCGTGGAGGACAAGTGTGCAGGAACAAGCCAACTCAGTGTCACCATGCCACACCCACATACAGAGTAAGGAAGGGGTGGGGGTTGAGGCAGGCAGCCCCTCCCCATTCCCCTGCATCCACCCCCCTCCCCAGAGCAAACAGCGCGGGTGAACACAATATTGGAAAAATCTGGCCTAAACCACAGGGTAAAGGGTAAAACATGTGCCCTTAATGGGGCAAACTTGGAGCTTCGAGGACAGTGGCTGCCTCGGCCATGATGGCTTCTCCAGCAGCGTGCCAACACCCCCTGTGCATCCTGGGTCCTCTGAGCACAGGACGTACTCTCCCTTGTCTACCAGTGTTGTGTTTTTTATTTATTTCTCCCTATTTTACAATAAATTTGAACATTACACAATAGAGTGAAAAGTGAAAGTTGCCCCCCCCACACCATTGTCCCCAGATAACCTAATCATCACTAAGCAGTTTGACTGGCCTGCCCCATTCTTTCAATATCACTTAACAGATTTACTTACCTTGCAAAGAGGACCTTTTGCACACTCTTTGCACATACAACCCTTTGCACACCCTCATATACATGGCCTCACATACCTTTTGTAAGGCACCTTTGCAAGGATAGGCCATAACCCACTCTACCAGCTCCTGGACAATGGACATTCAGACGCTGTCAACCCACATGCATGTGCTCACGTGTGCAGAGACATATGTACACGTGCAGCTGCTGGGAGAAGGTTCCCATGGAACCCCACATGCTTTCTCCAACATTAGGGCAGAAGACCTTTCCTTACATTTACCAGAAATTCTATAAGGAGCCAAGTGTCCCCACCACTCTGAATACAGAAAGGCAGAGGCAACGTTAAGTCTAAAATTTTTCTCGTTCATTCCTAGAGGGATGACAGCTTAATTTGGAGAAATCTCTGCTCTGTTAGTGGCTTGGGGACCCTGGGCTGTCGGAACACGGACAGCATAACCTGCTAAGGCGACCTCATGGCCACTCTGCTTCCCTCATTACAGGGCTCGGGCGCTGGCAGGCAGGCAGTCATTCCTACAGCTCTGTGACCACAAGCTCAGACAGACAGACAGACAAACCAACACTTCCAACAGCATGTGTATCTTTTGAAGGATACTTTTCTCGCCAAAAAAATTTCTAGCCTGTCAATGTGATGTATTATAATAAATTTTAATTCTTAATTTTTGCTATAAAAACTTAGTAAGTAACCTATGTAATAAAATAGGAAACTGCACACATTCTGCATACTATGAAACATAGTATCTCCTCCTGCTGCTCCTACGCAGTTTGGTCACTCACCATGGCAAAGGGACGAGATGAAATCTTTTGGTTAAAATTTTAAAATAGTCATTATAAATATTGACATGCTATCACAGCCATGTTGCTAACTTTCAAAAAGTAAGCTAAAATAAATTATGTTAAATACTAAAGTACACTGAAAATAATTTAATAGAAGCCGATTTGGTTATAAAATACCAGGGATTAAAAAAAACCTTCCTTTTCATGTATTTTTTATCTAACTCTTGAAACTTTGAGCCATTTGATCTCTTTTTCCTTTTTAATTCAGCAATATTCTGGTCCATCTGGAGAGAAAGAAGCAAAGGTCCTCTGTTCTCCTTTCAAGAGTGTCCTGAGTGCCAACCCAATTATATGAGTGACGTCTCAGAGAGAGCCAGGTTTAAGAGCAAGAGTGATAAGAGGATTTGCCAAGAAAGACATTTAAGCTGCAAGCACAGTACGACCTTGTTCTTGGTTAGAGAGGCTTACAGCAGCTTCCCAAAATAGATGTCAAAAGCACAACCCATACCGCCACAGGTCTGAGTCAGTCACCAGGAGAAGATCACTGAAACCCTCCCAACCTCTCCATTTTCCTTCCTCAATGTATTTTGCCCTTGATTGTTGAAAGCGAGACAAACTACAATTCCTTCTAGGCCCTACCTGCAGCATTGCCCTAACTACGGTCTGAGCAGAAGAGTACACATCAGGGCCAGCATTCGACTGCGCACAGGAACAAAGAAACACCCTACACAGCCCCTGAACTGGCCTCGCTAACCTTGGGCCCCGAGACATGATTCTCCTGGGGACACTCACCTTTGCAAACAACCTAATGGCTGTGTCAGCACATAAGAAGGCTGAATGGTGCTTTGCGGGAGGGCGGGGAGTGGGGTGTGCAGGGCAGGCACAGGAGTACTGTCTCAGGTGTGGGTGCTGCTGTGTGGGTAGGGGTGCACAGATTTAGAAACCTGCCTGTGATTATTGCTACATAAGTAGTAAGTGCTAGAGCTGAATTCAAACCTGTGTAGTCTTCATTTTAAAACTGATGCTCTTCAGCCCAAGGATGAAGTGCCTGCCTGTGGAAAAGCAAGCACACGTCTCACAGGAGTAGGGCACAGGCTATGGAATGCAACACACAACGGGAGGGAGACCCTACAGGTAAGTTAATCAAGAGGACACGTGGCCTACATGCTCTGGTGCAGTTGAGATGAAGGGAGTCCAGTGATCCTTGCCCTGTTCCACCTCTACTCCTCAGGGACTGTGAGCCTCACCACACAGAATATGCCTTATCAGTCCTCATGTCGGCCACACCCTCTAGTCTGAACTGGGGTATTTCTGTGAGGAGCAATTAACAACCTGTTTCCCTTTGTTTCAAGGGAAAACAGGTCCGACCAGCTTTTCAGGATGCCAATGTATAATGAGTTCATTATTGCACTGACTCTTCACTCTTCACTCAATGTAATTACCCAAGATGTCACTCCCCACTCCATTTTCAAAGTCAGATGGCATCATTAGCACCAGGAACTCAGAGCCTGGTCCTTACATGGATTTTCTGCAAGTCTCAGGAGTCCTCTTCTAACCACAAAGTAGCTGATTCTGCTTTTCCTCTTGCATCCTCTCACTGGATGTCTTTGTTTAAGTGGTGACTAATCAGGGCAGTCACCATTAGTTCCCTAAGAGGCTGCCTGATGTCACAGGAGGTCTGCATGAGACTGAATTCTGCACATGGACGTATGACTGCCACATTTCGTGTGTAGACATTGCTTGTTTATGTTCTGTTGACTTAGGACCATAGAGGCATTTATGTGTAAAAAGTGAAATCCTTTAAGTAAACTGAAACTATTAGCTTTTATGCAACAACGTAATAATCCTGGAGGCAGCGGTGCCTGAGGAGGGCTCCATCAACAAGGCAGGAGGTGGTGTGGCGGGTCCTCTGACTATGAAGTTACTCTCTGCCCCTAGTTGCACCTTTGTGAGAAGACAGTAACAGAATGCTGTCTTCAGTTCTAATACTGACTTTTATCCTGTTTCAACTGCTCTGAAATCGGGTGTCACTGGCCCAGAAGTGGCAGCCATCAGGGGGCTGTGCTGAAGCCTTTGATGTCCTACTTCAGTGTTGTTTAAATCTGCATCTCTTTGCTTACAGGAAAACTTGGTTATCTTTTCATAACTCTGTTGCCATTCAGGTTTTCTATTTTGTAAATTACATGTTTGCTTTTTCACATAAGTCTTGAATCCATCTGGAATAGAAATAATGGTCTAATTTTGTTTTCTTCCATACAGACGGTGAACTGCCAAAGAATGATGTTTTAAATAGTCTTTCTTTCCTCACTAATCAATTTATCTTACATACCAAGTTCCCACAGATTAAGAGATATATCAGTAGACTAACTGATTTATGGCCACTCAATTCTGTTTATCCATCCATAACCTACTACCACAAAATTTTCATTATTATAGCATTATAATAAATTTTCAATAATCTTCTTTCAAGCCTCTTTTGCTTTACTTTGCTCTTGATTCTTCTGTATGATTAAGCCATCCTTGCATTCCTGGGATAAACTCTTTAGATAAAAAATAATAATACATAACCATCACTGGATTCCAGTTGCTAATGCTATTATTATTTAAATTAGGATTTGTATAGCTGTATTTATCAGTAAGAGTAGCCTGCATGATGGCAAGGTTACATTAGCTTCATAACATGAGTTGATTAGTGGTTTTTCTACTTTCTGCAAGATTTATAAAAAATAAAGGAATTATCTGTCTCTTCAAGTTTTGACGAGATTTTGCCTGTCTGTGAAGATATTTTGTATGTTTGTGCATATGCCCATTTAGATGTTCCATTTGCTCTCAAGTCAGCTTCGTCAAACTGTTATCTCAAAATTATCCATTTGTCTCTTCAGTTTATTCCTATTCTCTTATGGTTTTTAAAAATCTACAGATTTTCAAATTATAGCACCCTTTTCATTTCTAAATACCTTATCCATTTTTTATCAGTCTTGCCAGAGGTTTGTCTATTTTGTCAGTTTTTCCAATAACCAGCTTTTGCCTCAGTTCATCTTTTCTATCTGTGTTTTCTTTATTTCCTATGTCTTTAATTACCACTCTTTAATTTGTGTGCTTATACACATATGTATATATAAATGCACAGAAAAAATTCTGGAAATATATACAATAAATTGATAACATGATAATAAGTACCTCCACGTAGGAGAGAAATGGGAAGAGAGTATTAGTAAAGGAAGACTGTCACTTGTTTTTTCTATAATCAGTACTATATTTTTTGAACTTTTGAAATAAGAACATATTTGCATTTTTTGTATAAGTAAAGAAAACAACTAAAAGCAGGATAACTGTGGTGCCGAAATGATCTAGTTTGTGCAACCAGCATTCAGTGAACATGACACAGAGCTGCCCTTTTGCCATTTGGAGAGCCCTGCAATGACAAGATTAATCCTTTTTTTTCTCCCGCAGCCCTAACATTTTTACTTTGATATTTTCTTTCGTTTTTGAATCCAGACCTGATGGCCCTGCAGTTTAGTTTGACTAAACCTAATCATGACAGAAAATGACATTTCGTGAACCTAAAACCAGTCTCTATAAGGACACTATCACCTTAGGAGCAATGTGGAGTCTTGCTTTTGTTTTTTTGTTTTTCTAAGTCAGCATTTATCACCTCCTAATACTCTATTGTGAAAATGAGAGGAAACCTCAACTGAAATTGGAGGTGGGAAGGTCTGTAGAGAGAGCACGCACACCGTACCACTTGAGATCCAACTACCCCAAACAGGAAGACCTCAGTTACAGATCTCAATAGGAAGAGAGTCAATTACAGACCACAATACTTTCCTAATTTACTCATCCAGTAGGAGGAAGATTTTCCTCTTGCTCAGCAACAAGCCCAGTCAATGGAGACTCTGCAGCTCAGGCAATGAGAAGCTGTCATCACCTGAACTCTTACTTTCCTCCAATGAACTTTCATTTTTGTCTTGCTGATGACTTCCTTGTCCTGCCCTTCTTTCTACTAAAGTCGCCATCTTATATAACCCCTCAAACTCTCTCCCCACTTGCTAAATAAGTTGCTGCTTGATTCATGAATCATTTAATAAAGCCAGTTAGGTCTTTAAATTTACGCAGTTAAATTTTGTTTATTGAGTATAGAGGAGAGACTTTTCCAAGACATGATAGATGCCTGTCACTCATGCTGGACCTGGGCCAGAATGGAGGTTGCTTTCTGCAAACTCCATTTAGAAGCTGTCTGATCGTAATCATTCTGACATAAATCGTCACCTCTCCCTTGCCTCCTGCTATGTGCTGGTTTCTGGAACAGATTGTTGTCCTGACTTGGTTAAACATGTACTAGTACCTGTGACTACTCCTCCTTTTACCCTATATAATTCTTTGGTACTTGCCAAGCAGTGCAGGGATCCATTTCATCTTGCAGCCACCCAAGACACGTCTCATTTGTAAGTTTCCCTTAATAAACTCTACTAATTACCAGACTGGAGTGGCCAGCCTCTTTCTTCAGTCTTTCCCTGCCTTCTACTTATTGAGGCAGATTTTCAGACTCGTGGCTTTTCCTTGGGTCTGCATGTATGAATATTAAAACTATATATTTTACCTATTGATTATGAGTTGTGTTGTGGTTGCTGTTGCTCATTGTTTGACCTCTTACTACAATGAGATTCCAGAAGGGCAGGGCCTTTTATGTTTTGTTCACTGACACTGCCCAAACTCCCAGAACTTAACTGATTGTGGATATAAATATTCATTGTAATATAGTTGTAGGACATAATTGAAGCAAACAGCGAGTGTGTTACAAAGCTCTGTCAATATTTCATTTGGAAAGTCTCTTGACACCCTCTTCCTCATAATTTCCCAACTGCTGCAGTTTAAGCCTTCGTGTTGAAACTGGGACTGCTAGAGTCCTCTCCCACGTTAGACTCTTTCTCACAGGCAGGACCTCCCCAGCATGCCCTTCCTCAGAGGCAGCTCCATCCAGTCTGGCCTCTGGCATGTCCTCCTTAGTCCTTGTTAATGGAACCGAGCATGAGGAGAGCCCCATCTCCCTCTCGAGAGAGAGAGCCTTTCTTTAATGGTGCCACTCAGGCTCCCTCTTCCATGGGGCATCTGCCAAGGGCTTAGAGTCATGTAGCTATGGATCTGAACCCAGGCTGGGCTGCATACAGCTGTGGGATTTAGGTCTTACTTGCCTCATCCGTAAATGGATTAATAATTGTGTCTATGTGATACAGTTGTCCTGAGGATTGAATGAAAATGTTGGCATACAGCTGTGGGATTTAGGTCTTACTTGCCTCATCTGTAAAATGGATTAATAATTGTGTCTATGTGATATAGTTGTCCTGAGGACTGAATGAAAATGTTGGGACAGTTTAGTGTGGAACCTGAAACATGCTACATGCACACTGCTCTCATGTCTCAACACAAAGTTCCTGGAGATGTAAGCCAGCTCTCCAGAGGAGGCCCTGGGCACTGTCCTGGGGTGCTCTAGCCCAACTCAGAGAAGCATGCATGGGGGAGGGGAGGAACAGGAAGGAAACTCTGAGGCAGGCAAAGAAAACAAGACCGACCCAGGGCTCACTGCCATGAAGAGCCGTAACCTCCCGATCCACCGATCATGAGGACTTCGCAACTAGGCTTGCCTTTCAGGCTAAGCATGATGCTCACTGTGACCATCACCATGATCATGGCTGGGGAAGACAGAAGGTCGAATTCACCCCAAGTCCTCTCCCACCAAGAGGGCTCTGGCCACTTCTCTTCCCAAAGTGGGCCTACTCTGCAGCTTATAGTCTATACTGTGCATTATAAAAATCGATGGTTGTTTACTAACATATAAATTGTTGGTTAATTAATTTGTAATTAAGATAATTAGTATTCATTAATAAACAGAAAAGTTGAAATGTATAAAAGGAATGATTTTCATCTTAACAGTAATAACAGTTGACAATTATTGTGTTCTTACGACCATTCACAAACTCAATAACAAATACATGCATGAAACCAAGTGAACCTCTCAGGTTTTGTGATCAATAAGACATACAATAAGGCCCAACAAGCCTCAACACAAATGGTACAGACTGAGGAACAGATGAGCTAAGCACACGGTCTCAGCCAAGTTCAAGCTCTAAGACACAAATGACTGACTGCTCTAGATCGAGCCGATCACCTTAAATATTTTTCTTCTCTTTAACTCCACTGCAAAAAGGATTTTTAACCTCAAATCTCAAACAATTCAATTATGTTTTAATTAAATCTTGACCTGTCAGCTGAATCATTTCAACATACCAGGTAGTATTCTTCCAACGAGGGCATCTAATAGCCAAAAAGATTCTTCTTCATTTTTTGTGATGAGAATCAGGTATCCCGCTATAAAATTCATTCCCTGAAATTAGAAAAATGAGAAACAGAAATTTGTGTCAAGTTTTAAACCACTGTTAGGGTCTGTAATTTGGGGGCTGCTACCTACTAACTTTCCATTTCCCTTGCTCTTCTCTAAAACTTGCATAATTCTAGAATGACCTTTCAGTAGTACTTTAGAGAGACTGAGGATCTAGTAATGCATTTAGTCAAACCTATACAAAAAGGAAGAAAAAGAAAATGGTTAAAAAATTCCTCTGAATACTGCCTTAGAATACTAAAATCAAAGGTGCTCTCCTCAGCTCATGGTAGCCTTATGATAAAATACAACTTACAACTGGTTTCTAAAAAATTAACAGCAGGAAACTCTATATCAGAGGAGAAACTATACCAATGACCATATTTCATAAAATCCCTAAGGAACATGATCTGACACATGGGGATGCTGAAAGAGACTTTCATGTTGAAGATTATTTGGGGAAATTCACAGTGTACATTTGTCAAAAGGCAGATGTTGCTAAAATACTTGAAGTATGTGATTCTCTTATCTGAGAGAAGCAGCCGGACACTGGCAAGGAGGGTGACACTAAACAGTGAGTTAGTGTTATCTCCGGGTGGCTGAGTTTCAGACCACTTCTGTCTTCTTTTTTGCTTGCTTCTATTTTCTACAAGTATGTATTTCTCTAATAATAAGAGAAAGATCCAAATTTGTCAACCAACAATATAAAATGAACACAGAGACACAGGGAGAACGCCACGTACAGAGGAAGGCAGAGATTGGGCATGTGTCTAAAAGCTGAGAGACTCCAAGGATTGCCAAAGACCACCAAATGTGGGGGATCCTCCCCCACAGCCTCAGAAGAAACCAACCTTGGTGATGTTTCAGTTCCTGCTGTTCATGCCCCTCAGCTTGTGGTACTTTGTCATGGATTTCCAGGAAACTAATACAATGTGTGTGTGTGTGTGTGTGTGGTGCGCATACACATGCATGCGCGTTCATGTGTATATATGCACCCCCTCAGCTTGTGGTACTTTGTCATGGATTTCCAGAAAACTAATACAATGTGTGTGTGTGTGTGTGGTGCGCATACACATGCGTGCGCGTTCATGTGTATATATATTCCAAAAGCCAACAGAGTTTTGGTGTCAGGCTAATATTGTGTGGTTTATTTTTTTTTTTAAGCTATTTTTAAAATCCACAAGAACAATAACTAGAATAATCTTCGAACAACTTCTCAGCCATCCTACCTCCCCATATTCTAAAGGCCAGTCCTTGTTTCAGGACAATAAGTTAATAACAGTAATAAAAGCTGAGAATGACAGAAATTCTGTATGAGAAGAACGGACTCACCCAGCTTTATCTTTTTGCAGGCACTAGCCCATGTAACAGAGCAATGTAGAAACACAACCTGATAAATTATTCAGGTGAATATGAGTAGTAGCTATGGTGCTTCTTTGCTGCTGGTCTTTTCAAAAGGATCTGCCTCACTCCTCCCATTTCCCTCCTTTCCTCAGCGGAGCCCAGAGCCATGCCACATGCTGTCCACATAGGACCACAGCTGGCAAAGCAACTCCCGCTACACAAATGTTTGTTCAAACTTTATTAAGGACCTAAATACTCCCGGCTCCCTAGCCTTAATGATGAACTTCTGGAGCCCTCACCTCACCCACGACTGTTAGATGTAAACTTCCAATCACTATGGGTTTCATTCACCAGGAACCTTTAGACAAGACTCAGCCTCCAGGAGCATGGCAGCCTCAAAGGCAGGGAAAGCCACTCCCACTTTGTGACAGCCATGGTGACAAGTAGCATTCCGGGTAACAGGCAGCAGGGAGCTCTTGCCAACACCTAGCCAGGAACACTAGTCAGCTCAGGCCTTGCCGGCCTTCAGAGAGCTCAGAGACCAAAAAGGTCTGTCTCAAGGGAAGGGCAGCCACATTACACGCATGCACCCACAGGGGACACAACTGCTGTGCTGCTGCTAACTCATGCTCTGCTTGCTTTCCCTGCTATGATTAAAAGTGTCTCTTTAACACACTCCAGACTGAGACCACTTCAGGAAGGAATGAGAAATGATTCTTCCCCACCTCACATGCGCTTCATGAGGCAAATCCAAAACGAGATGACTGAGAGTGTCAGGTGATGAGGCATATCATTACCTTTAATTTCAGGGAAGATCCGACTTCCAGAAATAGCCTCAAAGAATACCCCCACCCCACACACGTGTGCATGCGCATGCGTGCACACACACACACTTGCCCACAATTTGCACCGAGGCAATAAGGTGCTGGTTACTTTGTGTTCTAGAAAATACAGCCCTGTGTTCACCTAAGTGACTTTCTATCTGCTTTCCAACTTTCCTGACCCTCTCTCACTGTGGTCTGATACAAAATAAAATCTTTAGAGATTTTACTGCTTTTCTAACTGGGAAATATTTAAAGTCATAGCTAGTGCAGGTGTTATGACTTAGGGAGTGTATGAACTAGATTGATAAAGAATACCTAACATACACACGGAGAACATCCCTGTTAAGTCTGTGGGGGTGTTGATCGGTTTCACCTTCCTGAGGGCTTACCTGGCAGTACCCCACACCTTGGTTGTGGTGCCCATAGGCCAATAGCACATTGTACAGGTTTGTAAACATTTTTTCTCTTCCGGAATTTTACGTTGTCTGGGAAGGTCCTGTTCATATCTGCGGGGAAATTCATGGCATAGAATTATTCGAAAGGTGTGAAGAGAAGATTAATCTGTGATGTGCCCAAATCCTCTTTGTGTTTACCCCTAAGGGAGGCCTCAAATCCCACCTGGTGAAGGGCTGGGCTCTGTCTAGGGTTTAATGGTTTCAACTCTGGTTACGCATCTGAATCACCTCAGAAGAGCCTGGCTGCCCTTCACTGGCAACGGGCACCTGCGGCCTCCACAGTCAAGGCCCTGGGCACGACCGCAGTCAGGAAGAAAGAGGAGGGCACCCCCTGAACCCCCTCTTCCCCTCCCCCACCCACCCCTGTCCTTCTCTACTCGCACCCCAGGAAACGCCAGTGGGCCCCAATAGCCAGTTCTCTCAAAATCAGTGGCAGCAAAGTGCCCTTCTCCGGGCTGAAGCCTGAGCTGCTACAGGGTCCCCAATTTTTCCTCACTTTTCTCTGCCCCACAGCTCTGCCTGTACCTCCATCCTCAGCTAGGAGAAGGCTTAACTCTAGGACCACAGGTGACAAGTGAACAGTTTGCACAAAACTTTGGAAAATTTTCCAAAGTCTGAAGATGGAAAACACAAGGAGTCAGAACACACTGAGACGCCCTCTCAGAGATAAACAGACAAAACCGAAGTAAGAATGAAATAAACTTGGCACTGCCGACCCTGTTTGCAGGAGGGTTTTGGCCAGCCTCTTCCTGCTTGTCAGACATCCACTTCCTCAGCCCAGCCCTGCTGGCATGGCCCAGCCAGTCCACGCCATGGCCCAGTGCAGGGGCACAAGTGCTGGACAAGGTCACCAAGAAAAAACTGTGCCTTGTACTGACCCGACGGCTGACTTTTTAAAGCTGAGTTTTATATTTTAACTCTGCAGAACAAAGAGGATATATGTCAACTTAAACAATTACACCTTTTCTGACTCTACACACTCCACATAGATAGTAGTGTGCTTGCGAGGGTGCTATATGTGTGATTACCAAAATGGATTGGGACACACACACCCTTACAGATCTCAACAGAGAGTACACATAACCATTAGCTTTCTCTGTCATGCTATATAACATAAGCATACAGAGTATCTCGCCTTTGTGCCTAAGGAACTCTAACCTCTGTTTTAGTACGATGTCTACACAGCTTCTGTAAAATGTTGCAACAGTAATTCTGTTCCCAACCTCTGGCCCCTGGGCCTTATCTTTGCTTATAAAAAACTAGTCATTAGTAGAACAGCAAGCTTAGTCCCCTAAATCACATTATTTTTCACTGTATGTTTTCTACAAAAAAGATTTTTCCCCCCTGGAATTCTAAGCATTTCAAAAACTGGAATTGATCAGGAGGCAATGAGTGTTTTTTAATAATTCAGACTAGAATGACCAGCTGTGCTCATTCCTATGTAACAGTTTTTATTATGAAAATTTTTCCATATGTTTTGAAATCTTTCTACAGGAAAAGCCCCTTCCTCCCATTACAGAGGTAGATGTGGACAGGGACATTCAGTCTATGCTTACATGACACAAAGCATCCATTCTATTGTTCCTATAAAATGATTTATCCAGATTCCTCAAAAATACAGACAGTATTACCATGTGATCCAGCAATCCCGCTTCTGGGAACATGTCCCCAAAGAGATATTTGTCTACGCATGTCCATAGCAGTATTATTCACAACAGCCAAAAGGTGGAAGAAACCCTAGCATCCATCAACGGATGGAGAGTTAAACCAAATGGTGCATATACATACAATGAAATATTATTCTGTCTTAAAAGGGAGAGAAATTCTGACACACGCTACCACATGGATGAACCTGAGGACATGAAGCTCAGTGCAATAAGCCAGCCACAAAAGAACAACTCCTGTATGACTTACTCATATGAGTCATCAAATTCATAAAGACAAGAAAATAGAAAAATGGGAGCCAGTGGCTGGGGACAGGGAGGGAGAGGGGAGAATTAGTGTTTAATGGTGATAGAGTTTCAGTTTGGGGAAGATAAAATGATAAATTTTATGTTATGTATTTTTACCACAATTAAAAAAAATATTTATCCAAAAACACTGGCACTAACAGAACTCCTAAATTTATTTTTCAAACAAACAGCAACATTCTATTATATTTAATATGCATGCCCTCACTGGGACCTAAGGTCTGGTCCTAATCCATATCAGCATTTCTGGTCCTGCTAAGCGACGCCCCCAGGCTGTGCCTGCAAAGCCAGCAACAGCTTCTGTTCTGAGGCCTTTGGCCATGGTTTGCTATGCAATCAGGATGCAACCAGCAGGTTCAGTGGCCCCAGCTCTCTCCACTGGCTTCTGCCCTGGGGATTTGAGACTCCAAAAACTGAAGCACTCGCATTCCTTATGTTGGGGACACGCTACTCTCTCATGGTCACGAGTCAGTCCAACGTCTCAGCACTTTAAAGTAATTGGATTTTTTAAAATTAACTGTTTGTGTTTAAATCTATACTTCTCAAAAACTGTTAAAATCAGAAAGGCAGAAGTATTTCCTAAAAATCTAACTATTTAGGTTAAACTTTTTTTTTTTGAGCACTTTGAACTTCTAACGGCCAGGGAGCTTATGCAACTATTGAAAAAAATGGAGGAAAAAGAAATTAGAAGCCAAAAATATCAGCATTCCTAGACATTAAGAGTTAGACACAAAGAAAAAAAAAAGAAACTCCATTGTGTGGCTTTACGATACGTGGGTAGCTGATTCTTTAAGTCCTCGTGTGTTACTGTCAGGCACAAATCCCTTACAGCGATGATCCTACTATATTATGACTGCTTGCTCAGCAGCCTTCTCACTTTCCTTGAGGGATTCTTCATGGAAGAAATATGGTCTTTTTATTACCGTTTTCCTTACCTGCTAGATAGGCGCTCAAGTATTTGCTGAATGAATTAAAGATATTGTTCTCCCCTCATGAACGCTTAACATTTTGATTTTTCTTTGAGAAGAATATAATTTCAAATTGAAATCAGTTGGTGCATCTTTAGCAATGTTCATTTCTTCATCAACATCACTTCAAAGGCGGGTGCAAAGACAATTTGGGGGATAACATCTGCTCCTCCTCCTGCCTGGGCTGCCGTCTACCCAAGGGATGGATACTGCACGTCACCTGTCCTGATGGCCTCCTCCAGGCTGTCATTCCTCTCTCCCTGGAGAAGTCGGTGGTAATAGCCAGGGTTCCGGTCCATCTGAGCCTGGGCGCCACTCACCCCCATCCAGACGCGGGCCCGGTGCTCGAGCGGAACACCCTTCCGGATATAGCGCTTCACTGAAACCAAGAGAGGGGGCTGCTTCAGGACAGACAAGCATTTCCTGAGGTCAGAAAGCTGGTGCAGGGGCTCTTTGAGCAAACTGCACTAATTTTAATGCTTTTACTTCAACAGTTTTCTCCCTAAGTCAAACATTAAAATGTGCAAAACTTCATACATCTCCATCACAACTGGTACGTACACTCATTACAGAATCCTGCTCTCCATCCCAAACAGAGCACAACCAGACAGGAGGCTGCAATAGCCTCTGATACTTCTACTTCACTGTCCACACAAAGAGACATGGGCTACAAGATCCATCCTCTGGTCTTCCCTCACCACTGATGACACACACTGTGCCAGGCACGGTGGACATGAAAATGGATTAGCCACAGACCTGGCCCCTAGCTCTTGCTCAGGGGTGACTTGGACCAAGAACAGTCACTGTGACCCAGGGTGCAGAGAGCAGAGCTGGTGTCTGCATAGGGACTGCGCATAGGAGGAAATACCAGGACAGCGGGAGGTACAAAAGCCACATCAAGTGAAGGGACATGGAGCAGGAAGAGACCCCCAGCTGGTCCTGGGAGCTACAGGCAGAGCCGTGAGGGCCAGAAGGACAGCTGTGGGCAGACAGACTCGGAGGCCCTAGTTTGCCAGGATCAGATGCACGGTCCTTCCCTGAAGGTGAAAGTGAAACAGCACAGACCAAGGTTGCTTGGGTATTCTGGAAAACCTTGTTCGGCTATGTAGAAGATGGACCAAGGGGGCAGAGACCAGTGAGAGGCCAGGCTAAAAACAGGAAACAGCAAGTATCTGAGCTGTGAGTTTGTGTGATGAGTCTGGCAGGGAGTGGATGGGCTTTAGCTGCAGAGGTCCTGTTTTGCAGCTAACCTCTGTAAATTCAGAACCACTACATTTGGGAGAAAAGAAGCCAAAAACCATGAGCAACCTCAGTTCATCAATATTCAATAACTTCTCAGGAAGATGGGAAAGGTTTATGAGACTGATATTCAAATTAATTACAGAAAGCCCAGTTATACTTTGTTATACTTTTAATGACCTTAATCTAACCCCTAAAACAGTTCATTTTCAAAGCAAATATTCACAGCTTTGTTTTCCTTCGATTGTATATTATAAATACCATTATTTTAAAAGAAACTACACTTAAGAAAAAAAAAAGTTCATGCAATTAGTGAAATTCCACAAGCTACATAAAAAGAAAAAAAAAAAATCTGAGGCACCTACTGCATTTAACAACAACAACAAAAAAATTATAGAAATAATGTTCTAGGTTACAGTCAAGAAAAGCACTATTGATAAAACCTTATTAACTCACACTCCAAGGTGATCCACAACTGATATTTGTACATGAGCACCTAAAATGGAAGCTCCAGGGAGCCAAGCCTCCTGCATTTGCCCACTCCTAGAAGGGTATGTGGAGGCAGTAAATGCACACTAAATATTTGCAGAATGATGCAGGGATGACAAGGAAGATCTGAAGGAGCGAAAAAAACAGACCAAAACCATCCACCAAAAGCCAAAGAAAACTTGACACTCTCTTTGCCAGTTTAGAAGCACATTGGAGGATCATGTCCTGGCAAGAACGTTTCTGTATGATCCATTCATATTGTTACAGGAACATGAAAAGCATAAGCTTTATTTTTAAGCCTACCAAAGACACTAATAATTCAGCCTGACCTTCCCCCCAACTTTGTATGATTTATACTAAAGTTTGGCTGTAGGTTTCATGAACCTTCAGAGGGCATCATCACCAGGAATGACCTGAAGGAGCTGTTAACCATTCTCTGCTAACCAGCAAGGGAGAAGGGTCAGTCCTAATGCAGGTGGGGACTATTCTAACTTAGAAGGTAGCAAGAAAAAAAAAGACATGCAAAAATCAATGGTACTTCTACACACTAATAACAAATAACTGAAGTCAAAAAAATGAAAATGGTATCATTTATAATAGCACCAAAAATAAAAGGAGAAATTCCTACAGATAAACCTGACTAAATATCTGCAGGATCCAAGTGCTGAATGCTGCAAAAGTCAAAAAAGACCTAAATAGTGGAGAGATATACCATGTAACCATATTTATGGATTAGAAGACTCCACATTGTTAAGATATCGGTTCTTCCCAAATTGATCTACAAATTTGATGCAATTCCTATTACTGTTCCAGGAGAAATACTTAGTTCACCATGACAAGTTAATTCTAAAATTTATGTGGAAAGGAGAAGGAACTCAAAAACCCCCCAAAAAATTTGAAATGAAATTGGAAGAAACAGGTACTATCTATCTGATTTTAAGGCTTACTACGGACTTACAGGAATCAAGACAGTGTTGCGGTGATGACAAGATATACACATAGACTAATTGGAATATAAGAAAAAGTCCAGGAACAGACTAACACAAATAGAATCAATTGCTTTTTGAAAAAATTGCAAAGGAACTTCAATGCAGACAGAACAGTCTTTCCAACAAAAAATGACCAATAAAAATACTAATAATATAAAGTGCTGGCAGGAATGGGGCCCAGCAAGAACTCTCATTCGTTGCTGGTGAGGAAGCAAAGTTATACAGCCATTTTGGAAAGACAGTCTGCAGTTACTGTATGATCCATCACTCCCACTCCTAAGTGCTTCCTGAAGAGAAATGAAAGCTTAAGTTTTCGCAAATACCTCTGTGTGAATGTTTATAATGTTGGCTTTACACATCCCAAATGTCCTTCTACTGATGAACAGATTAAAAAATTGTAGTACACCGTACAATGAAATATTCCTCAGCAATAAAGAATGAACTATTGAGACACCTGAGATCATGGATACATCTCAAAGGCATTTATGTTAAATGAAAGCAACTAGACTCGAAAGGCTATAAGCTGTATGATCTCATTTATAGGACATCCTTGGATGACCGAATTACAGAAATGAAGAGATCAACGGTGGCCTGGGGTGGGGTGTAGGGGTGGGGTTGGGGGACTGGCTACAAAGGGAGAGCCAAAGGGAATTCGGAAGATGATGAACCGTTTTAAATCTTGCTTGTGGTGGGGCTAACATGACTCTTTGTGTTTGTCTAAACTCATAGAACAGTACACCAATAAGATCACTGTAAATTCTGAAAAATAAATTTATAATATAAAGTAAAAAAGGGTAAAGTTGCAAAATGGTTAAACCTTTCACTCTGGAGTCAGACCTGGCTCTGCTGTGACTTCCTAGCCCCAGACCTTGAGCAGGCCTCAGTATTCTCATCTGTAAAACGGAAATAAAGTGCTCAGCCTAATATCTGAAGTACCGTCAGGACTCAATGAATCTTAGTTGTTGTAACAGTGATAATAATACCTAGAAGTTTCAGAGACCAAAGACTTCTGCTACTTTTTGATATTTGTTTTCCGAACAATGTTTCTTTAGAGAAGAATGAAAATAGTTCACTTGGCCTCAAAACGGACACTTTCCCAAGGGCAGGGCTCACCCACAGGTCATCACTGACATTTGCAGAAGTGTAAAATGTAAAGAAAAAACAGTGGGGAAGTTTTTTTAAAAAGAGGCTGAACCCCAGAGAATTTACTTCCAACTGTATGCCCCAACAAAGGAAATCTCGTTTTTTGGTGTTTGTCTTTGAAAAACTATTTTTGCAATTAACTTCGAATTTAGATGGTGTTGATATTCTAAGCTACTAGGAAGGAGGTCCAGAAGATGCAAATAGCTATGAGGCTTTTTCTCTTGCAGAGCCCCTTCACACCAAGAAGGGAAATGAAAAGGAAAAAGAATGGGTGCTAGGCCAAGGTAAGACGAAGTGTGTTGAACTTGATCTTCAAGGTTGAGGGAGAAAGAGCAAGCTGTCTTAAGGGCTTCTGGTGGATATTTGCTATGGACAAAGAAAAATGAAAAGATAATATTCATCATATACACAAATAGTGTAATCAAACAGCATAAACTATAGCTGTTATCTGAAGACATGTTGAATGCCAAGATTTGCAGATCCTTGTGTTACTGAAACATCACGATAGGCAATACAGATGGAAGTCCTTTTCCAAAAGAGAAAAAACATGATAGGACCAAAAAAGCAAGACAAGGTGAAAGAACAGGATCAAAAGGGTATTTCAGGATGTGCTTGCTGATATTCAAAGATGGGGTTCCAAAACTGAGCTCCCTGGCTATAAATGTTCACACTGTGGGTCCAACATCCATTACCATGTCATCTCTTCCCTGGGATGTCACATATCTTACTACACTATAGTCAGCCTAGAATATGGGGTGGAAAAAACTGGATTCCCCTTTCTGGAATAACTCATCCAATCTTGTTTATGCATAATAGCCCACTCTCTCAGAGCACTGCCAGTGCTGGGAAGTTCCCTGACTGTCACACCCAGAAACCACACCAAGCTCCAGCAGTTAATACCCTGGATCACAGAACTGTGTGAGCCTACACACTCACTGAACTTATCTGTGTCCCCATTTCCTGAAAGAACATCAGGCCACTTGACACTGAATCCCATCCCCCAGGCTGAAGGTCACCAGGAATCCAATATATTTGCTCCTGAACCTGTTATGCCAATCATACTTGTTACCATAACCACACAGTTTAACTAACATAACATATATCAAAGAGATATTAAAGCAAGCAAGAAAGAATTGTTATTTCAACAAAAACCAAGTTAAAGTCTTAGAAGAGTTGCTAGATAAGTGCTCAAAGTAAAAGCAAAAAGAAAACAAAATCTTTCAATTAGGTGTAAGATAACTGCAAAAGACAGGGAGAAGAATAAATATCGGCGCGGGGGAGTCAGATTGCTTTTATTCCTGCCCTACTTAGAAAAAAAAACAATACTGGAAAATATTTTCACTACTGAAAAATGAATTGAGAGTGTGGATTCTGCAGGAAAGATACAGAATTGAAATTAGTGGACCCACCCTATTCAAAGAAAAGAAGATAACTAGAATCAAAGGATGAACATGCATTTGTGTTTTACATAAAAATAGAAGGTTTAAAAATAAAAGGCTTATTATGCACGTACGTACATCTGTACATTCTGTAGTGATTCTCCACTTTAACTGACCTCTGGGTCAGTAGTCCAGAGTTAACCATGTTGGACAAGAGGCCTTCTCCTGCACTAAAAGCCAAATGCAGACCCGTGGGTATGGTTGCTCCATCTGTACACATGTGTGCGTGTGTGCATACTCATGTGTGTGCAAACCTGGTTCCTAGGGGGAGACATAAAGACAATCACCAGTGGTCACCTCTATGGGACACTGGGGTCTAAAGCAGGAGAAACTCCATGTCACTTTACATCTTTTAATACGATTAAGATGATTGACCATGTACACAAACTGTTTATTTTTATATACTTGTGTGTAACTTCTGAAAACAAAAAGACCAATCAACTTTTAAGAATGAATTAAAAGGAGAAAATAAAGGCAGATATGCTGCTGGAAACACGGTAACACGGGGGCCACACAGGGATGGGTATCAGCATAAGGTTCATGTAGGATGCACACAGGATACTGGCTTCAGGAGTCTGTAAAGCAGCAAAGGACCAACCTTTAAGGTCCCTTCCAGCTGATTTTATGAAATGCTAGTTTACCTGAGTTTTTACTAAGCACTCCCATCAGAAACAGTCTTGAGAGAGGGCTGGGTCGAGGGACACGCCAGTGGCCCAGAGTCTTGGGATGACAGCCTCCTCCTGACCCCAAACCTAACAGACAGTAAGGTCCCAGATCCACCTACCTACACGCAGCCCTCTCAATTAACTCCTCAGGTATTTTCCAAGCACCTACTGGGTGGTAGGGCCACTCTGCATCCTATTCACTAACTGCTTTAAAAGCAAAAATAGGTCTTCTCACCCCCTTGCTCATAAATCCTTTTATAGTTGGCTTCTCTCTGCCTGGTCATGTGATGTGTGCCTACATGTGGCCCAGTGCAGGGCCCCTTGGCTCCATCTCCGGCCCCTCCTAAACACATCCCTAACACTCTAGTCACACAATTCTGTCCCTTGCAGCTGACTCCTGTCCTCTTGTCATTAATGTACTATTTCAGGAAGCCCCCATATGCCCCTCTGCACCATTTATCTGAGTTCCCTTAACTCTCAGGGCACACTCCTACCAATGTCCTCACCAGCTGCCTGGCAGATACTGATTAAACACTTCATTCATTCATTCAACAAATACTGAAGCCAGTCCCTGCCAACAAGAATGGATCCTTGATTCTAGCAGGGTAAACAAACGATATAATAAATTAGATCTGCACTGCATTAGACAATGAGGAGAAAATAAGCAGGGAAGGGGTAGTAGGAAGTGTGTGCATATGTGGTATGATGGGGGGATGTGCTGTTTAAGACAGGAGCTCAGGAAGGCCTCATGGAGGTGGCATTCAAGTCAACACCTGAACAAGACCAGGCACAGGTTGGGGGAGAGGCTGGGGAAGAACTCCAAAGACTCGCCGGTACAGGCCAGGAGTGTGCTGGAGGAACAGGGAGGAAGCCTGAGGGTGGAGGCTTCCAGGCTCAGAGAAAGGGAGGGGTGGGGCTGAGGCAGGAGAAGAGGTGAGGAGTCCAGTACCGACTGGCTTTCACTTTGAAGGAAGCAGGGAAAGCTCTGTTACAGGAACGGACAAGTGGAGAGCTCTGGCCAATCTCACTTTGAGCAGTAGGAAATGAAATCGGTTTTCTTCTGGAAAGATGGCATGGCCCATTCATATCTGGCAAACAGGCCCATCTCAAAGGGAAGAAAGGATGTCTCTGTACCTCAACAGTGTAAGTTCTAGCTTAATTAAAAGTTTTGAGCCTCAACTTTAAGCCTGCATAGGACACATACCTACCTGCCTTGTAATCTGGTTTCCGGAGCAGCAGGAAAGATACACACGCCAGACTCAAGGCAGCCTCCCAGGGTAAGGGGCCTGAGGAATCCGAACCCCTCTGCTCCCAGGAGCATTTGACAGCCAGTGACTTGTTGGCTGCGTGAGTGATGGACCAAACTCCAAACTCACCTGTTATACTTTTCTGGACACTACTACTTCCCTTTAGAAGTTTAGACCATTTTATTGCTCTTCTAGTGAGTATCACCAAATAGGTTGAAAAGAATTCTTCATAAGCTGCATAATCAAAGTCTTCAGGTCTTTCAAACCCATATGGATCAATCCTACAATAAAAAAAAGAAAAACCCTGAAGCCCCGTAATAAAGTTCCTCGCGCACGTGCGACCTGTGGCACAGAGCTGCCGGGCCCCACCCAGGGTCCTGCCCCCAGGTCCCCGAGGGGAGGGGCGGTGGTCCGTCCAGAGCTTCGAACCACACGCGAGGGGCGCGCCCTGGTCCCTCCCCTGACGCAGAAAGGAACAGCCGGCCGAGAATAGCGGAGCCGCACCTCCACCCAGGGACGCGCAAGCGCCGGCACCCCACCGCCGCACCCTCCCACTCACTGCACCCCCAAATCCCGCACCCTTACACCCTCGCATCCCTGCGTCCCGCACCCCCGATCCCCACACCCCTAGGCTGGGCGAGGGTTGTCCCGGACCGTGCGCGCCCACCTGGGGACCCGGTCCCGCGCCGCCTGCGCGCGCTCCGCAGGCTCCATGCAGGAGAGCTGGGGTGGCCGCCTGGAGACGCCCGGACTGCGGCCGGGTAGAGGTGCCAAATCCACCTCCCCGGACTCTGGGCAGCTAAAGTCCTTCCGCCGCCGCGGGCGCCAGGAGGCGGTGCGGGGGTGCGGAGGCGGTGCTGGGAGTGGGGGAGCGGCGGGGCGGTGCTGGGGGAGGGGCCGGTCTGAGGGAGGGGGAAGGGCAGTATTAGAAGGAGGAGGCAAGAAAGGGGGAGGGAGGAG